TTGTCACTGCACAGTGGATGCACATGTGCACACACACATTTATTCTCTTTTCTTTCTTTTTCTTCCTACATGTCTCTGACTCACTCATGCACACGCAGACACACACTGACGCACATGTGTATGCAGGACACTACATGAACTCACACAAAAAACATTCATTCATACATAGAAATATTTGACACACAAGACCTCACCACAAGACCCACACCTCCTCTGAGCTTATCTCAGTGCAGAATGGAGCAGCTTTTGAAGGCAGTAGGGAGGCAGTTGTTGACGAGCCACTTAATAATTCTCTTGGACAGGCATGAAATTCTTTCCTTTTCTCTCTCTGTCTCTCTTTCTCTGTCTCCTCTGCTCTTGCTCTAATATTCCTCTTCCTGCTGTGTTTTTATCTGTTTTTTTCATTTTTTCTAATTTTGTTCTGCTTTGTCTCTGTGTTTTTCACACTCCTTTCTCTATGCCTCTGTCCCTTCTCAGTTTCTTTTTTCCCCTGCTCTCCGTGAGTCATCTTTGTATTTGCTAGTAAGCTCAAGTCATTACTGACATGAAGGTTAATACAGCACTTGCAATGGCAGTCTGCTTGTTGTATAAAGTACTAATAGGGCAGGTTTTCTGTATCCCACACATCCCTACAGTTACAGTCGTTTTCAATCCAGGTCGAAAGGAGAGTCATGGACTCAGGTCAGCCGACGCGCGTTGACCCATGCAAATAGATTACTAATATATTTTAACATGTGTCACTGTATCCTTCTGAATTTGGTATTAAGCCCATTCACACCAAAGTGGCACAGCGGCATTCATCTGCACTTACAGTGAAAGATGTGGTTCAAGAAGCATGTTGATGTAGGGCCTGCTTGCTAGTTGGTAAACTACTGAAGCCGGTGAGCTAACTGCTAACAAATTAGCTACTGTTCAGTCACTATAGCGCTCTGAGCTTCTTTCCAATTTCTCTATAATGTGCTGTTTAATTGTATTCAACAACAGTTATTGAAGGGAGTTAAATTAGCAAAATTGTTAATGCTAATGGAAGAATAAGTTCACATGGTTTATTTAAAAGATGTATTGTACCATTAACTCCCATCTTATAACTTAGATAAAATTGTATTGTGCGACACAGCGATAGCTGCCTTTATTTTGGACTCTCTTTGAGCTTTTCATTCCCTTAAATATATGTGTAATATTGCCATCCTGATTTTCCATATGGTTATTTTACTATTTCACTCTATGCAATTCATTTCAGTTTTATTGATATAGAACCGATTCATAATAAAAGTAATTTCATTGCACTTACCATATAGAGCAGGTCTGTACCCTACTCTTTGTAATGTTATTTACAGAGACCCAACATTTCTCACCATGAGCAAGGACTTGGCAACACAGGGAAAGAAAAAATTTTAAGAGGCAGAAACCTCGAGCAGAACCATGACTGGGTCTATTCTGTCCACATGACATCTATTGCATGCACAATGCAAGTCACATACAACACACTGGAGTGAGATACTGTTGTTGTTTTAGGGTTAGGGTAATAAAAACAGATTAACACAGATTTGGACTGACTTTAGGTCAGACGTGTCTCTGGTGATATAAAATGCATTAAAACATGTTTATTTTAGTTTTAAAATTATGACTGGATGATTTTATAATAAGAGATGTTGGCGTTACATCTAGTGTTAGGATATGAATTACCAGCATGCTCATCAGTTTTAAATGGTAAAGTTCCATTGTGTTAAAACTCACTTTCGTTGTCATCCCTTGTGGTTATGATTTTTTATTTGCTTGTGTTTTGTCCATATTGTTTATACTTTTATTAGATTCAAGGCTTCGAGCCATTTCAGCCACCGTACCAGATACTGTGCAACATACTACATGCCTGTAGACTCTTAATTCAGATATGGAACAAAAACACACGCCGGCACACAAAGTAAACCAATTTAGTGCCTTCTTTGTTGCCAGTTAAAATTCACACGGGCTGTTCAAGACAAAAAAAAAAGTCTGATGTAACGGTACTGCAGAAGACAGCAATAAAATACAGGGATATCCAAAACCCTAATTTTTTAAAATTTCTTTACAAAAAATGTGTTTTCACCCCTTGTTGTTGTCATTTCTTTTGGCCTGTGGTGCAGATAGCGGAGATGTAAACATGATGTTATCTGTGGCACTACTATGGCTTCCAAGTAACTACTGCTTCGGGATACACACACACACACACACACACACAAACACACATTTTAACATACACATATAGACTACATAACCAAACACATTAACAAATTGACACAGGTTATCTCTTGTCCTCTTTCTCTTCTTCCTCTTTGATTTTTATCCCTCCATCTGCTCTCTTCCCCTCAAGGCAGAAGAAGAATCCTCACGTTAATTTGTTGTTTTTTTTTCTCTGCACGTCTACTTTCTCTGTGGCCTTCATCTTCCTCTCCTGTGCTCCCTCTTTCATCTTTTCCATGCTTTTAATCCTGTTTGTCCCCGCTTCTCCTCCTCCTCATCTTCTTCCTCCTTACCAGTTTCTCACCTTCAACCTGCATAACTGTCTACTGTCATGTTATATATCAGCATCTATTTCTGATTTCAGGCAAGACTGAGCAGTGAGTACGAAGGAGAGAAGAAAAATGAGAATTACAAAATAAGAAAGGGTGTGTGTGTGTGTGTGTGTGTGTGTGTGTAAGAGAGGGGGAGGGAGAGAGATCTCATTAAGTAAAGGTCACATAGCGGTGTGTGGCAGAGAAAGATAGGGCATTAGGCAACTTGTCACCGGTCACATGTGCTTAAACTCTGAAGTGAATCTGTGTAAAATGTGAGTATGTACATGTCCGCAAGTGTGTATCTCTGATGTATTATTTTTACTGCACTTGCATTTTATTTACATATTCGTGTGTGTTTGTGCGTATGTGTGTTTGCTCTTAATCTTCCTCATGTTTCTGCATCTTTATGGTTTTTATGTTCAACATGCGTAACTGTGTCTATAAATGTCTAAATGTATACTACATGTACTTTCATATTATACAACAGTTTTCATGTCTTCCCACATTTCTCTTCTCACATTCTTGTGTTTGTGTGTGTGTGAGTGCGTGTCCCTGCTGACAGACTGCAGCATGTATCCTCTCAGTTACTGCAGCAATGTAAAAATGTAATTTTACATTACAGATAAACACACACAGAGACAGGTTGTCCATTAAGGGTTGGTGGCTTGGTCTCTGGCTCCTCTTGTCCGCCTGTCGATGCATACATGAGCAACACAAATTGCTTTGTAATGGCAATTTAAGACATTATGTAGTGCTTTGTCCTGTCTTCATGTTGAAAATTGTGGAAAGTAAATACAATTTTGAGGTAATGTACTTTTTTTTCATTGAATGCTACTTACTTCTACTCCATTCTGCACGTACTCTTTACTCTCATACTCATTTATGGACAAATAAACTTACTAGCTGTTTTTCAGATTTTATATTAGAAAATAAACACAGGGCAATCAAATAAAATTCAAGGTATAATGAAAGATTAAATCAGTGGCTCCATCTTTTTGGCTTGTGAAAAAGAAATGTTTACCTAGGGTCCATTGTCTGGATCCAGATGTTTATAAGGTGTTAGCCAAATAATTATTTCCTCCAAACATAGTTTCATTTATATAACTTGTTGAGGCACAAAGAGGTAAATTATCCAACATTTCTCAAAACAAATCATTTCCCCCCCAATTTGTGCAGCAGGACTTCTTTCCTTCTATCCCATTAATCATCATACACCCAGTCGGGGACTGCTGGGGTAAACTAACTGTGGATAAAGTAGTTAAAACTTGGCCAGTTATATACTACTTAATGTATAATGACCTTTTACTCACAGGAAATATTTTTTGGCAGAACAAGTACTTTTACTCCTTTTGATGATGATACTTCTGTGCTTTGTTATAGGAAATGGAATGCAGAAGATTTACTTGTAATAACTTAAATTAAATTAAATTGTTGTATTGATACTTTTACTTAAGTAAAGTATCTAAATATTGCCAGTGACAAAAGTGCACCCTGTTTGCAAGGACCCTCATGATGCACATAGCCCCCCAAAATGTCAATCTGAAGATGTAAAATCTGTCCCCACATAGACAGAGATACAAGAACACATACACTCTTTTATGGCCAAGGTGCACAACAGTTTGGATTGAAACCATTTCAATGCAAAGTGTGCCTGGAGACACACAGTGAAATATGTACAATACAGTACTTTAATTCTGTATTTCTTATTAATCTTCTCTGTTGGCATCCTGAATGCTCAGCTGAATTCCACCGAAGTCAAATAGCAGACACACACACACAAACACACTTCCATCCAGAAACAGTGGGCCCAGCAAAATACCCTGTAATCAGGCTTGTGTGTATGTGTTGGCAGTGATAAATGCCCCCTTGGAAACTCAATGCCAAATAATCAAGATTGACACTGGCACACAGCGCTCTGAGGTTTGTATGTGTGAGGGTTTGTTTGTGCTATTTTTGTTGGAAGGATCTAATCAAATGTAATCATGCTAATTACATTAATCGTGAGGTTTATAATCACCTCTTTTTTAATTTCTCTCTTCCTTTAAAACTCTCCCCTGGTCTCTGTTACTCATTTATTCCTATCTCTCCATCTGCATCTTTCACCATCTTCAGTCTTGTCTTCCTTCCCATGCACTTTGGGTAGCACATGAGAAATAGAAACAACAAAAAGTATAATAAATGTGTGTACTGTGTCTCAAATAATAAGTGTGAATAGGAATGCTGGGGGAAGAAAAATGTTAAAAATAGAAAGAGAGAACACATTTGTAACCACAATAATTGCACAAAAATAAACTTGTAATAAATATGACATGACATCTCTCATCTAAATACCTTTTGCTGCTTTTAGTTCTGCATAAAACAACCACCAGCTGTTTCAGGCTTTAAAAAATGTAAATTCAGGGCTGTAAATGCCCAAGCATGGTTTAGTAACTTAGGAACTTTCTTTCTCTTTCCTTCTCTCTGTAGGACACAGAGGTGGTGAACACAGCAATTCTTACAGGTCGGCGCGTCGCAGTGCCCATCAAACTAGTTACCGTGGAAACCGATGGGCAGGTGAGGGAAGTGGATGACTTTGTCACCTGCAGCTCGACAGACGTTGACGTGGTCAAGGTACGTGTTCAAAGAACACACGGAGAGATACGTATATCAAATCAGATTTTTAAATCAAATAGTTACATTAAGGGAGTTCAATTCCTGATGATTTTTATTGGCCCGTAATCCTGCCTGCAGCATATTCTGGGGGAGGATGTTAAAGTTGTAATTGGTAAACCAGTTGATATTTTGCTTTGCGATTAAACATGTGCCAAAGTGAATAATGGGCTCAGGCAATACACAAAAAATGTCTTAAGTCTTGGTCTGCCAGGTAAGTGAAATATGGATTAAGAAATAATTTCTCACAAGCTTGAGAAATGGAAACATTTAAAGAGCAGGGAGGAAATCACAATAATGTGAGGAGGTAAACTAGGGGTATTTTACACAGCAAGGAACCCATCTTGAATCATTATTATAATCTAAAATCTTGGAGGATTTGTGTTGTTCTCTAATTCACTTTGTGCAACAGCGCATAATGAGACACTTATCACAGTGTGCAGGCTTTTTTTTTAAATCTCACTTTCTAATTTACTGAATGTCATATGTAAATGGCTCAGAATTGCTAATATGTGGGGAACTTTGGACTTATTTGACCATAAAAAAACATATTTGTTTCTTTTGCTTGAGTTGAAAGAGGGAACAAATGTTATAAGTAAAGTAAAGCTGAATTAATAAAAACGTGTTGGCTAAACAGTTAAACAGATGTGGCCATTAAGGAAACTCCACGGTTTACTGAACTGCAGCAACATCTAATTCACATCTTCAAGAAAAAATGGTTTGGGAAAGGTTGTTGTCTTTTCAGCTTCCAGACATTATGAGAAATGATCTCGGAACAGGTCGCTTAAAAAATATATATGACAGTCTTCACATTCAGCTGATTAAAAGTTCCCTGTGGAGTTTTCTTATAAGCAAAGTTTCTATTTACATTCAAAGTTGAACCAAAATACAGTGTGTATTCCTTGAGGCCTTACAAATATGTTGAATGCATTTCCATCAGTTTGTATATTTTATTTGAAACCTTCATGGTTTACATCTGTATTTACTTGTGAATGGTCTTTTTCTTCTCTGCCGTTGCATTGCTGCGTTTCATGGCGACCACCGGCAGCAATACATATAACCCGCATGCTTGTGTGCATGCATGTACGTCCTCATGCACATGCACAAGAACCACCAAAACCGATTTCCATGCTCATGAAAACATTGCTCCGTCGGCCCTGGTATTTCTGTCCCAGATCAGCCCTCCACAATCTGTCAAACACCCTCCACCAGTAAACCATCCTTGCGTTCTCCGTAAATATGCATACTGTAGTATTCCCCAAAAATACTACAAAGCTGAGTAGTAAATGCCCTGGAAAAGTGTATCAGTGCAAGTGGACCAGTGTACTCATTCTTGACTGATCAGAGGAGTTGAGGACACAGTATCCATACTCAAGTAGTTTACCACTTCTTGCTCCTCCCTGTCTCTCACCTTCACTGCTAACTCAATAACCAGGCTTGACTAGACAATGGCACAGGGAGAGATTGTACGACTGTTGGTTTGACAGACAGTTTCAGATCATACTGATGTCAAGCATCAAAATATTCATAATGACTATTAAAGTACAAAGCACAAAGTGTTTAATGATTAATAGATCACCTTTTTATGTTATATGAATGTTCAGAAAGGAGTAATATACGTATGCATGTGCACTGGTGTTGCATGTTACTGGACAGCAGCACCAAACAGTTTAAACATATTGTAGGTGGAGAATGTGTGTAGGAGTAGGTTACACGTAGACCTGAAAATAAACATAGGAGACCTTTGTTGCCTGGTGTTGGAAGTGATACCCCCCCCATACTATGTGTAGAAATATATAGCACAGTGGAGCTTCAGAAGACACATTTTTACATATGTTTATTAAGTGAATCCTCAGCCTAATAATTTTACTAAAATTATGACAAAATGGTCGAAATGGACACTCACTGCTTAGCCAACTCTAACGTTAGCTAGTCAATGTTTATTTGTTTGGGGAGAACAAAACAATGACAAATAGCTAATGCGATGCTATTTGGCATTGACTGAGTGAGCACCTGAAGCTGACAGTCTCACTTTATGATAGCATTACGATTATGTTATCTCATCTTATTATCACCGTCATTAATTTTATTAATCATCATTCATCATCAGAATTATGGCACGGCACACACACCGCCTCCCCGAGAGTCTGACGCTGACTAATGGTCAGGTTACAAGTGTGTGTTCCATCCATAATTTTGAGGAGCACACAGAGTCAAAGTGTGACCATACATGCTCAATCCACTGGTTTATTACTGGTTACAATTTGTCCAATCAGAAGCTCATGTAAAATAATGACATAAACATATAGTGCTCTGGTACATGTCATATTGGTTGGGTATAACTTTGAGTATTTTATGTTGTAAAAATCATCACAATTTCTGGAAACAGAAAGAGACATACTGGAACCCTACAGTTCACTCAGCAACACTTTCCCTTGTCACAAATTGATATCGTTTTGTTTAATGAAACCCAGGTTAAAGGTGCTGTGTGTACGAAACCCCAATTTCTAAAGTCTGATGCATGTCATCACTATATTGCTTTTCTTTTTGACTCTGTAATCATTACTTTTTTCTCCACTTAATCCTCTCCACAAAGATGTCAGAGGTCAGGGTCAGCTAGAGCAGCTGTCATCCTTTTGGCAGGGATGCAGTGTCTCTCCGAAGTACTCTTAAGCAGGACGGATGAACAGTGACACATGAGTTTCACAAGGGTGGAAGGAGAGTCTCAAGTGCTTTGCACCAAAACTAACAAACATAATAACTGCACTAATGAATAAAACAAAAATACCTTAAAAAATACATTTACAGAAACAAGCCAAAGCCAAGTACTGAAGATTGATTGATTGATTCCTCTTGTGCTACGTTCCCTGTGCCCTCAGGGCTAAAATGAAACACACCCTTGCTGTGACACTTTCAATATGAAGCCAATTTCCTGGTACAAGCCGACGGGAGTGGTGCTGTTTAAGTACGATCAATAACAACACAGAGAAAATGGACGGAACTCATTCAGATAGATGTAATGTTAGCGCTCTGTTTGTGTCTGTAGTTGTGTGTGCGTGTTTAGAAGGGAAAGTATAGTGTATGAAAGGGCAATGGAAACGGTTGCTTGTGTGTGTGCATTTTGCGTTTCTGTGTCCTTGTGAGCATACACGTGAGTGAAACAAGTACAATAGGAAAGGAAAGTGTTTTTGTTTTAAAAGACCATGTCCAGATCTTTATAGACAAACATACAAACACATAACATGTTTAATAAATGCCTATAGACAGCATGACATGTTGATAATTCATTTCCAGAACTTAAAGGAGAACCTATTATGCTTTTCCATATTTTATGACTTATCTACAATGTTATGATGTTGGATGATCATGTTAAACATGGCCGAAGCTTCAAATAATGAGGTTAAAGTATTTAAAAGAAATCCCTGTGAGCAAAAACCTCAGATTTCCTCCTGTTCTGAACATTCTTTTTCTACACATATGGAGCTACACAGAGCCTGTATTCCATATATGGTCATTTGCTCTGCACAACAACGCTCGGCCTATCTGTCCCGCTCAGCGTCAACAACAGCCTAGTAGCATGCTTCAGGTTTTGGCCAATCAGAAGACAGTGAGCTTTGAGGGGCTTGGGGCCTTAAAGAGACAGGGGCATCTACAGCTTGTTTCAGACAGAGGCTGAAATGAAGGCCTACATGAAGAGCCAGTATAAGACAGAAAATCATTTTTTTCAACTTTGAATCATGCAAAGCTGCCACACAGGAGTCACAGAACTACAATACAGGACTGGTATTATAGGTCATCTTTAAGCTTAATGTTAAAACAACAAGCAGTCTAAAGCTTAATTTAGACAAAGTCTAATTTTGACCACTGGAGGTTTATGAAGACCATGTTTTTTCATTTTTTGACTGTGATTGCCTATGTGTGTGTTTATGTATATGTGGTACAGCTCATAGTCAGACAGATTTTAATACTCACTGGGCTCTCCAGTTGTTTCTATTACTTTACTTCAACCTCTCTTCATGTGCATTTCGCAAAATGAAGTCATACATCCGCAAAATGAAGTGCTAAGACATGTTCAACCCAGGCATCTTTGCCTCAATTCTTACCACCTTAATCAAACCCTTGCCTTCCCATTGATTTTGTATGCAGTCACGCCACCTCTGAAATCCACTTCACGTTCAGTCTGAATGCTCCTTAAAGAACACCTACATTTATTAGTGGGTGAATTATACCTGTACTTCTTTGTTTGCACTGCAAACCAGTGAATACAGTTGCAAGCATGGACACATACATAAGAATTCATTGGGAACGGCTACCCTACTCTGCTGTAGTGAAACAGAACCCGTCCTTACACAGTATGCCACTCATATATACGCTGTCAATTTTGGATAAAGCAAGGCAGTAACAAACAGAATTAGTAAAATACTACTGAGGCCTTTCTTGCTAAGAAAAAAAACATGCTTTAAACGACAGCATCTGTCAAATGAAGACGAATTTCCTTGCCAAATTTTTGCTGCTGATATTTTAATTATGATGAACAGGACGTGTCAGCTGGGGAAACCAACCAATTTAGATATATTTTAAGACAGCACACTGATACTATGGCAGGCATTAGTATAACACAGCGCAGAGGAGACAGTATAAACTCACCACTGTGTATGGATAAGCTGTTTAGCAACCTTAAGCCCTTCTTTGTGCTGATTGTGTTTGTTTGTGTGGCATAGAGAGTGTGTATGTAATGAGTGAGTGTTTGCAAACTGTGGTTGCTTGTTGACATCTGATCCTGTTCCCTCTCTCGCGTTACCTTACACAAAGAGAGAAGGCTTTCACACAGACAGCTGTTTGACAATGGCACCCATGGGGTAGAGCTCCAGGTAGCTGTCAGTGAGTCACTATGACAGCTGTAAAGTACAATCCAGAGAGCCTACACAGCACACACAGAGGACTACCGTGCCCTGAGCTGA